TATGCCTGAAGACGTTGAAGCAAAAGTAATCCACAAGATGTTAATCAACATGAGTTGGTAAAAATTATAAGCCATCATTATTATTGATAGTGATGAATTCCGATTGACGGAGAAGATCCTATCTCGAGAAAGTTATTCAAGAAAGTTACTACGAAAATCCTTGGGGTCTTGCTCTTCCCGCTTTCCTTTAAGCTAGCTCATTGTCTGATTGACTGCCGAAGGGCAAACTGAGCGGGGACTTTTGTCCTGAGAGGGTTGTCGCGGCATGCCGTTAATTCCCCGTCAGACAATTGAAGGTAATCTACGCACTTTGAACCTATGCCTATGGAGACGTGTATACTAACTGGAAATTGTTATGTTTATGTCTTTAGCGCACCACCGTAGCTTAATGGAAAAGGGAAGAAGGGGGTTGGATTCCTCCCGGTGGTACTATTATTATATGTATTTATATTATTTTTTCCAGGTCTACTACATCACTGAAATGAATTAAAGCCTGCGTAACCTCATGATCGCGGCGGTAGATGAGCTGTACTGTTGGTATTTATCTTCCTCAAGAAGCGCTTGAAAAGCAAAAATGGGTGGATCTTCGTTGCTTGCTCGGTTGTCTCTCTAGAACCACGACGGCTCTCGACGAGTGCTGCTTGATCCATATCCAGCAATATGAGGTCTTTGATGGTTGGCCGATCCGCGCTTGTTGGTCAAGGTGACCGGTTCTAGAACCCGAAACTGTAAGCGTGTATCATTTGAAAGCACCCTCCAATGTCTATCAAAGCGCTCAGATAAGATCTTCAGCTGTCCATTTAACTCGTAAATATCCACTAATTCATGAATGCATGGCCTGCCATGCGTCCGCCGAAATACACCTGAACATCGTTCGCCTCCACTAGTAACAAGATTGCGAGCTGCTTTCCAGAGTTTGTCCGTCTCGGTGAGAGCATACGTTGAGATCAACCGGACCACTGCTGAATACTGATCATAACACAGTCTGTGCGGTGGTATTGTAGTATCTTTTGAAGACTGGTAGCTGATCGCCTTAGCCGCAGCGCTCCTCCAGGGTAAAAGTTTCACAAACACGGTTAGCAGATCCCCTTTTGACGTTTCGACCCAACGTTTTATCTTTGCGTGGGTTCCTTCTACCGTCGATGTGTCGTGACATCCAAAGTGCGCGTATCGGTCCGTCCAGCATTTGACGCTCCGGGTTTTGTATTTCCACCAGGTACGCTCTAGCTAATCTGCGGTAACACTGCTTAGATTGCGAACAGCAGTACAATGTTGTTCAAACTCTGTTGTGGTTTCCGAAGCGATCGCTTCATAATACTTCGCCATGAAGACGTCGGTCTCTACTGAGTTTTGTTTCATCTCTCCATTTGGACCAGGATGAGAGAGTCGCACAGTCCCAAGATCGCCTTGAACACGTGCAAGAATGTTGCGGTTGACATGCCAGCGGCACAATATTTTGGGTACATCAGAAAATACGGTATCACTTGCATTCATACACGCCAGGTCTCGATCTGTTGCAAATAGCCGGGGTAACGGGATAGAATTGTCTCTGAGTAGTGACTTAAGTTGAGTGAATGCCCATGTGTAATTCGGCTTAGCTTCTCCGGGTAACCAGCACTGAGCTAGCGGGAATACCTTGTTGAGCCCGGTGAGGGCAATGATGTTGCATAAATGCCAATTATGCTTGTTCGTTTTGTACGTACAGTCAACAACTACTACACCCATGTAGGGTTGGGCTAGTTTCAAGGTGTCTGGGTACTTAAGACGTCCCGAATCCTCATTGACCTCATACTTGAAGTGGAAGCCATGTTCAGTCAGCTTGCGAAAAAGAGCTTCAATTGCTGTGTCAGCTGCTAGTAGGTTTCTTCGCTTAGCGTCCTTTACGTTGGCAACGTCCTTGGGAATGAGGAGAGAGCTAGTGTCCGTCAGTAAGAGAGTTGCGTAAACCTTCGAAACGGGAACACCTGCTGCCGTTTGGTAAAAAATGAAATCGTTCACCGTCGACACTTCAGGCGCTGTGCTTTGCTGCGAGCTGCGTTGTCTGTGACCAACGTGTACTCGAACGTCTAAAGACGTTGGATGATTGTGCTTAGTGCTTCCATCGCGGGTGTGTACAATTTTCCATGGACCTTCAGTATTGTTCTCGTCGACTGCTACAATCTTGATACGTATGGGACATCCCATTCGTTTCGACCCACGCATCGTTCTAACATGATCCTCTTCTCGAAGGTGACAATTATTTTTTGGTTTTCCACTTCTATCACAAGCGAATAGTTTTGTTCGGATGTCGCCATTCTTGTTCCTTTCCACTTTTTGTCTAGACACATTAAAGCGCCTTGACAACGTCATCTTGTGGATCACGTCCTCCGCTGCAGCTTCAGAAGGGAACACACCATCAGGGGGAGGGTCGATCTTATACACTTGT